CTCCCTCCCTCCCTCCCTCCCTCTGCCTTCTACTTGGGGAATTATTTTGTTAGTATTGTCAATCTCATAGTTAAATTTTCTCACTTTACTCCTCTTGCCATTTTAGTTGGGGGGAATGTCATGTGTACAGTCTATTCCTTAGAGCCAAGATAAGAAAACAGGGAAGAAAGATACAACTATTTCTTTTCAAAGAAACAAACAAAAGGAAATAGCAGAAAAGCAAATTTACACACTCATCAGCCAAGTCTCAGGTGGTCCCGCCTGGCACATCTTTTGATGAATTCAAAGGCACACAGTGAACAATCACATTGGCCTCATTTACAACAATGCCTGCTTTAAATAAAATGAATGAGACAGGTTGAGAGTGCTGCATTAGCTTACCCTTCCACAGAGATAGACTGACTCTCGGGGTAAAGTTGCCCAGTGCTCAAAGGGATGCACTGTGTCGTGGCAGGGCTGCCTGACAGGATCTGAGACAGAGGAGCCTGGCTCCAAGCCTTCATCTCCAGCCCACTTCACTGCAACTGTGACTGGAGCCTTTCAAGGCTTTGTTTTGGGTCGAGTTTGAGGAGTAGTTGGCCAGATCTGTTCCTTGATGAATGTCTTCACTTTAATCTGCAATGCAAAGCCATACGCTTCAAAGAAAGGCAAGCTACAGGAGTAAGGTCAGTGTTCCTTTGATGCCAAGGTTCAAAGATGAAATAGCAGCCCCAGTGAAATGACAATGTTTATGCACAAACAGCCACCTCCACTCTGCAGCCGGGCTGCTGGTCGAGTTAATGCACTCTGGCTAAGGGGCTACAGAAGGCTGTGCATTCCGTATGCACCAAGCCCCGTTTAATCTCCTGGCCTGTCATTCCTTGCAGTGCAGTAAGCCCCAAGTGGAGATTTGATTTCTCCATCCTAATGGATGTTGGGTGGTCCCCCTCCCCAACACAACCAGTGCTGTAACCCCTTAAGGGCAAGAAATGTGTCTTGAATTAATTTGGTGTTCTTCTGAATGTCAGACTCAGTCCTCAGCTTAATAAATATGTCATGACTCAGCTTCCATCTCAGCAGCCTGCTGGATTGCAGGTCAGTGTTTATGCTGAATGAGATCGTGGGGACATTGATCTCCTAGGACTGGGAGCTAGGAGTCAGAGCCACACCAGTGGTGGAGGCTGACAGGATCACTCAGTGAGTGAGGTTACTTTTGGAGAATACTGGTAAGACTGCAGCTCAGTTATTTCTTCATCAGCATGGTGCAAGCAGCCCCAGGAGAGTGAGCCACAAACCACACCAGCTCCCCGAAGGAGACATTGTCAACAGTTGTCTCATTTTGTTTAAATCTTTGATGCAGATTTTTCAATTAATCAGTCAACATTCCTTTTCAACTCCCAACTTTGACCCTGCATCCCTACACCCCCTTTCCTCAACTCCCTCTCTGTAACCATTTTCTCTCAGAGAAATTAGAGGTGGGGTTGCTCAGATGAAAGAGGTTGGGCTCTGTGGCCAGACCACAAGGGATGCAATGCCAGGACCCTCCGTTCACCCAGTTACTGGTGAGTTGCAGGCCTTTTTATCCTCAGCGCCTCCAGTGACAGCTGAGGAGGTGGAGGATTAGATGATGAGACACTAAACGTGGCATGATGTTTCATACACAGTA